AGTGGTCAGCAGACTCTGCATTCTGTCAGCGTCTTCACTAAATAGAACTATGTCATCGGCATATTCTAAGTCAACAAGTGGATCTCCCGGTAGAAGTTCAACTCCTGGAAATTTAGATGAGGAAAGTGTCATCTCTAAAAGGACGTCAACGACAAAGTTAAACAAGAATGGAGAGAGTGGACAGCCCTGACGAACACCACTTGAGGTAATCAATTCTGATGACAGTTCACCATAAGCTCTCACTCGACCAGTTGTGTTCGAGTAGAGAGCCTTTATAAGGTTGACGTACTTCTTTGGTACTCCCTTCAGTGACAAACATTGCCATAGAACCTTACGATCAACAGAGTCAAATGCCGCCTTAAGGTCGAGAAATACTACGATTGTGGGACGTCTGAATGTGTGTCTATGTTCTAGGACCTGACGTAATGTGAATATTTGATCAATACAACCACGTGCAGGTCGGAAACCAGCCTGGTTTTCTCTAGTCTGCTCTTCACGAGCTTTGGTTAGACGTCGAAGTATTATTGAAGCTAATATTTTAGACACTATATTAGTCAAACTAATTCCTCTGTGATTGTCACAGGAGGACTTTTGTCCTTTCTTATAAACTGGCACAATCAGTGATTGAGACCAGTCAGATGGGATTACGTCCAGTTCCCAGATTCTACCTAAGACCTCAGTCAATCTCGCTGCTAATACTGGACCGCCATCCTTAAAAATCTCAGGGGTAAACCTGTCAGGGCCTGCTGCTCTCCCACGCTTCAGATTTCCTATAGCTTTTTCAACTTCGTAAAGAGTCGGAGGACTTACATCAACTTGCCATTCAGGTCGACTGGGGATCGTGGGAAACCGAAGTGTGGCTGAAGGCCAGTTGAACTGATCCCTAAAATATTCTGCCCATCGATCCAATCTCCTGGATTGAGAATGAATAATATGTCCATCTTTCTCTGCGATTGTTTCGCTAACAGTTGGGTTCCTAATACCGGTTTCCTTAACAAGTCTGAACAGTTGCCTGCTGTTACCTATTGCCGCTGCCTTTTCCATCTCTCTTGCTTTCGCTACCCACCACTGTTCACGATCTTTGCGTAGGCTTCTAGTCAGCTTACGCTTAAGCTGACTCCGCTCTTCGTTATGTTCAGAGCCAGATGGAATGAGTTTTCGAGCATCTATCAGTGCGGTAGATGCTGCTGAGATCCAGTGTTTCTCCCTAACCTTATGGTTTACCGTACTTGCAGACATCACTGCTGTTTCTACAGCTTTTCGGATGTCATTCCACGCTGCCTCGGGGTGGGCGTCACTTACATGGCTGCCTAACTGTTTTTCTAGTCGTTCCTGAAATATACTCTTAGCTTGACTATCATTAAGTAGGACCCTAAGGGGTTTCCTTGCAGCATGTTTCCTACGTCCAGTAAGACGTAGACAAATACGCGCTCGCACTAGAGCATGATCTGAGTCTAAGCATGTGCTCCAGAATGAGCGACAGTCTTCTATCGAGCCCCTCCATCGGTGGCTGATAGCGATGTGATCTATTTGGGTCCAGCGTTGAGACGAATTAGGGGGTCGCCATGTTAAAAGATGTTTTTCCTTATGTTTAAAGTTAGTGTTTGCAAGAAACAGGCGGTTATCTGAGCATAACTGCAACAGACGGTCGCCGTTATCTGTTCTTTGAACCGCGACATCATAAGATCCACCCAGGTGTCTTTCCTTTTCGCTTAGTTTACCTACTTGAGCATTAAAGTCACCAGCCACTATTACTACATCTGAACGCCTAGCTTTACGGAGAAGGTCGGAAAGCTTTCTGTAAAACTCATCTTTTACATCATCTGAGCTGCAGTTAGTGGGAGAGTAGGCAGAGACGACGAAGAGGCAACGACGAGTGTCCCTATCTTTTCGAGTCCTTACTGTTCCGTTTAGTCGGACAGCACACAAACGACTGTCTACTGGGATCCAGTCTAAGAGAGCTAGTTCTGCCCTAGGACTCAATGCTATACCTACGCCAGCGAGGCCACGGGATGCAGCATCAGGGCTTCCAGATACACGAAGCGTAAATCGAGTTGGTTCGTTACTTTGACATGGTGCAGTCAAATGAATGACACTACTAGGATCCTGTGTGCGCGTTTCGGAGACGCAGCACACATCGATGGCGCGAGATTCTAAAGTCTTAGCTAAGGAAGCCTGTTGTCCTATTTGGCACAGTGTTCGGACGTTGAAAGCTCCTACGTGTAATTTGGAGCGTGGTTTCAGGAGACCAGGAATAACATTCCGCGTACTCGAATCGTTCGCACCAGCGGGGCGAGGTGATAAAGGGACGTGAGAAGGGTTAGTCGTGGAGATAAGAGAGTTATTAGGAGGTGTAGGAAGGATTTGAATGTGACCAACTTGGTCTCGTGTGCTGTTACGGGTATGAGGGCTGATATCACTTCCCGGTTGCCCAAACCGTGGAAGGGTATTTCTTGGGGGACCTGAAAAGGAAATCGGATTAGTGTTGGTCTTAGCGACCTGAGTGCGTGACCGCAGAGCCCAAGGGACAACTGCTTGAGGCCGGTCAAGCACGGCCTTTTTGTGGGAGGTTTTTAATGTGTTAGCTCCGTTCTTCAAAGGGCCTTACCGCCGGAGACGGAAATCCGTGGGGTAAGGTGAGGTGTGACATTTTTAGGGCCAACCTTTTCTAACCCCTTCCTTCCTTGTGAGAAGGCAGCATCGCTGCAGATGCTGGTTGTCCGAGGGAAACACCTTACTGCTGTCACACCTCTGTACAGTCAGCAGTACGACTTCGCCCTCAGACCTTGAGTTGCTGCTTTTAGTCTTACCGTTCTCCAATCGACCTGCCTGGCATGGTAGAACCTGCAGGAACTTGAGTTCCAGCCAATATAGCTCGGTTGGGTCATCACGATAGGCAAGCCCGACCACCACGTCAAGGTAGCAGCTACGGTCGGGAACAACCGTTCCTCAAGGTCCTACCATGCCAGACAGGTCGGTTGAAGAGCGGTAAGACTAAAAGCAACAAAACCAAGGTCCGAAGGCGAAGTCGTACTGCTGACTGTACAGAGGTGTGACAGCAGTAAGGTGTTTCCTTCAGACAACCAGCATAACAGCGATGCTGCCTTCCCACAAGGAGGGGTGGGGTTAGAAAAGGTCGACCCTAAAAATGCACACCTCGCCTTATCCCACGGATATCCGTCTCCGGCGGTAAGGACTCAACAAGTACGGAGCTAACACTAAAACTACTCATAAAAAGGTCGTGTGTGACCGACCTCAAGCAGCTGTCCCTTGGGCACTGCAGTCACGCTCTCAGGTCACTAAGACCACCTCTAACCCAATTTCCTTTTCAGGTACCTCCAGCAGAACCCTTCCACGGTGTGGGCAACCGGGAAGTGATAACCGCCCTCATACCTCTAACAGCACTCAAGACTGACTGACTAGACAACGGAAAAAGACTGGATGTTGTCTACATAGACTTCAGCAAAGCATTTGACGAGGTGCCAACAAAAAGACTGCTATTAAAGTTAGAAAATCTTGGTTTTGCTGGACCGCTGCTAAAATGCATTAAGGATTTCCTAGTAAGTCGTAGACAAAAAGTAAGGATAAATTCCAAGTGCTCCACCTGGAGATCAGTACTTATTGGAGTACCACAAGGTTCTGTCCTACGTTTCTTACTTTTTATACTGTATGTAAACGACCTCCCAAGTTCAGTACAGTCCACAATGTTATTATACCCTGACGATGTAAAAATCTGGCAAGAAATAACGGGAGACGCAGATGCATGCACACTTCAGGCAGACTTAAATATTTTGATTAACTGGTCTAAAGAGCGGCTGATGCCTATTAAGGCGGCAAAGTATATTTAAATGCACTTCGGGAATACAAAAGTAAATAGGCACAGCATAGAGGAGGTGCATGTGCCCGTGGTCCGGTCTCACAAGGATCTTGGGGTGACAGTGAGTCATGATATTAGGACCAAGGCTCATTGCCGGGAGGTCGCAGCTAAGGGGTTTAGAACCCTATGGGCTCTAAGACGGACATTCACACATTTACATGCCACCATGTTCACTACAGTATACACAACCTCAGCGAGAACTAATTTTTGGAACTGAGTTCAGGCTGCAAGCCCCTGTTTAAAATGTGACTCGGATAACCTGGAAAAAGTACAGAGGGCAGCTACTTGTGCAATTCCAGAACTCTGAGGTCTACCATACAAAGAGAGTTTTGAAAAGTTAGACCTCTTTACTCCGTCCTATCACAAATCAGATTACAGGTGACCTGATTTTGATGTATAGAATACCAAGAAATGATTCGACGAGTTGTTTCGAATTTTATATCCCACCTATGTAAGACCACGATTAGAGTACTGAATCCAAGCAGCTAAACCATGTATGATAAAGGATACTAACTCACTTGAGCGTTTGGGAACAAAATAAGTGAAGGGTCCTTCTAAACTCCCTTACGATGAGCGCTTAAAACGCCTAAACCTTTTCACCTTGTCGTTTCGTAGGACGCGAGATCTTATACTAGCATTTCGTATCTTTAATTATGATTTGGGTGTTAATATGTCTTACCTTTTTGCTCCCTCCAGCACTAATAATCTCTGGGTTCATAGAAAAATGGTTTACAAACCGCGATATAATAAACTTAAAGTGGGGTTCCGTTTTTTCATTGAGTAGTCAATGTCAGGAACGCAATACCCGAACAAGTGGTATCAGCTCCATCAGTGAGTATTTTCAAGGAGAAGCTGGACCTTCAATGGAATGCAATCTGTCAGGATTAACACAGATTCACCAACCTATTATTCTTATTACTGAAGACTGATACTAAGTTCCAAGGCTCATAAGCCTTTACTGTAATTACAGCAAAGTCAGTTTCAGTTGTATAAATAAAGTCTATCGATGAAAAACAAAAAGGTTCCAGTACCAACCAGTCTTACTCAAAACAGAATATGACCAGTAAGATTTAAATGTTCATAAACATTATTTGTAGATTAAAAACCACGTTTAATAACTTACTCGCCAAAATGAGTCCAAAGTACATGTTTGCGAGCCCAAAGCAGAATGCACAATACAGGTACCAACCTTCGCGAGTAAAGGAGATGCCATTGCGGATCACCTAATGGTTTATAGATTGCTACCAATCAATGGCTCATATTGAAAACAAAGATATAAAATTGACCGCGGTTGTCCTTCTCAAGGTCAAGTTAACTACCAATCAAATTTTGGATCAACCTCATTTCAATTGGTATATTTCAACATCAGGTGACCGACCAATAAGTTTAGTTGAAAGACTCTACAAGAGCCTGAGGTTCAGGCTTTCAGGAATGATTTTTTTTACTAATAAACAGGTTTTTGGAAGTAAAAGTGAAAATCCGTTGAATGAGCACAATCAGATCCTTATCAGTCTAAAATATATAAGAATATCTATATTCATATATGAAACTGTTAAACCAGTAAAAGCAGCTTACGAGTCAGCCAATTTGGCGCACAATCAAGCAAATGAGCCAACATCTTGTAAACACCTCCCTAAATGGTTAGGATAGGGTATCATCAAAACAGTACACAACTATGTTCAATTACACTTGATCGATAGCGGTCATGCATAACACAGAAATAGGTCATTTAAGGTGACTTATCATATTACTACTAGTTTTCGATCTTGGCTCTTACACATATCAGAAGCTACTAGGATTCGGGCTAACAATCTAAGTCTTTGTATTCATATGAAATTTACAACACCCTTATTTCGTCCATTGCAAAATAAGCCTTAATAAAAGTTTTTATTTATTAACATTTGCTTACTCTTTGTTCGTTTATATTTCTTCACCCTTCTTTTTTCTAATATACATTTCACTGACCATTTATCGTAACACTTCTTATTATGTAATCTTATAATATTTGATGAATGTTATTTCATTGTCTATATTTTTTAAGTCATTGACCTACCTCCTCTTATTAAATATTAATTTTAGGCCTTGTTATTCTTATTACAACTGGTCGACCTATTATCACACTATCAATTTTTACTCTTTACTAATGTTATTTTTTATAGAATCCATCTCAGTGTTATCATTGATTGATAAACTGTCTTGGTTAGTTTATAAATCTCGTTGTATATTACGTCAAAACCTGATGAGGATCTAATTGGAAACAATATTGTTCTCAGTTCCAATATGGACATTTTTTTTATATTTTAAATCTTATCTAATATACTAATATAATATTACTGAATAGGATAGATATTTACTATACGAATGGTATAAAATAGTAACTTTATGAATGAAGTTTTTGTTTTCCATATCTACAATTTAGAAAATTCAAAGAAAACATATCAGTTTTTATAAAACCAATAAAGTAATATATTTTGTTGCTTTAACAGATTCATCACAACACTACATAAGTTGGTTAATTAGTTATTAGTGTTAAATTTACCAATTTCTATCCCTTACTTATACTACAATACAATGTGTTTAACATGAACTAAACATAAAATGAATAGAATAACAAAAATATAAACTTATCGTTAAAACTCAACATTGAATTTAACCTAATACAATAAATTGAAATGAAATCAAAAAAAAATTAACTAAGTAGATATTGAGTTTACTGTGAATAAAATGAATATTGAAAAATGAAGGCATGAAATCCTTCTCTCTCTCTCTCTCTCTCTACCCCCCTCTCCCCCTATATATATATAGAGAGAGAGAGAGAGAAAAAAACTAATCAATAATGATCTACTACTGGTTCATAAGACCTTATTATTTGTTTCTATCTTTTGTCTATTATATTCTACAAGTGATTACTATGACAGATTTTTGTTTAGTATGTTGTCTTTTTTTTTAAAGTCACCGTTTTTTCTTTTGTAAATTTCTAGTTTTATTTATTTGTTTGTTTGTTTTTTTTGAATTATTTACTAAATTTAGATGTTTTGATTTAATTGGTAGTTCAACTATGAATGAATCAAATAATTCTGTCGGTGTTTTACTATTTAATACTGTTTTATTATATTTACTATTAATATTGTTTACTTTGTTAGAATTATTTGTTAATAATTGGATAGGTGAATGTTTAGTGAAAACAGATTTCTCCTGTGTATTTGTAACGATTGATTTGAAAGAAGTATGATCATTTAATTCTGTAGATAATTTTTTTCGATTATTTTGATGATGTAATTGTGATGTGTGTTGTTGAAGTTGTGTTTGTTTTGTTTCATAATTACTTGTAATTGATGTATAATTGTTCAGTGAATTTTTGGTGCCAATTTTTGTCTCTGAATTAAAATGATCTTGTTGATTTGATAATGTTTGTTGTATGGTTGATGAATTTATTAATGTATTAAAAGACATAGAATTTGATTGACACGATGATGACGATGATGATGATGATGATGATGATAATGCACTCAATGCAAATGATCTTGCTTTACTATTGGTTATTTTAAATGATACTTGTAAAATTCTGTTATCTAATATAAATCCATTTAATGAATGAATCGCTAATACAGCTTCTTCATAATTACTCATTGTAACAAAAGCAAAACCTTTACATTTATTATTACTTGTATCATATATAATTTTAATAGATTGTACAGCACCGAATGGACCAAATAGTTGCCATAAATTAGATTCTTCTACTTCTGGAGCTAAATTATATACAAATATACACCAACCATCAGGTGTTAAGCCACCAGTACTTGCTACAATTGTCGGTGCTAAAATTGAATTGCTCATAGCTACAGTACTAGCCATTGTCGAAAGTAGGTCTGTTTCAGTGGAACTAGGTGATGTAATGGAATATTTTAATCGATTCGATATTGTCGCTATTTGTTGCTGTAGTGGATTTAATAAACCTGCGGCGATAACTGCTGAAGTAGCATTTCGTGATAATGATGATGGCGTAGCAATAGATGTTGTAACAGCTTGTAATTGAGCTGCTTTTTTTAATAATTCAAAACTAAGATTACCAAATTTTATTGAATTTGGTGAATTGGCAAATTTCACGGTAATAGGTCTATTTAGTATATCATTTGAATATTTAGATGGTAGTTGATGACCATTTAATTGTTGTATAGCTAATTCAGCTTCATAACGATGATCAAAACGTATAAAAGCTACACCACGTGATATACCTGTCTTATTATCATATAATATACGTGCTGTTATAATACGACCATATTGACTAAATAATTGTTCTAATTCATTTTGTGTCATTGTTTTAGGTAAACCACAAATATATAAATTTGCACCTTTAATTGATTCACAATTTGGTCTAGCTAATGATACTTTAATTGTTTTATTTTGTAATGATAAACCATTCAATGTATTTATTGCTTGTTGTGCTTCATTTGATTGTGAATATTTTACAAATGCATAACCAAGACTTTCACCACTCGATTTATCACGTATTAATTTACAACTTTCAACTTTACCACATGTAGAAAATAATACTTTCACTTGTTCTTGTGACATATATGGTGGTAGGTAATTGATTATTAAATTGGTTTCATCATTGTAATTATCATTATTATTATTATTATTTACTGTTATGTTTATATCATATGAATTATTCGTTGGATACTTATCATTGTTGTTATCACTATGACTATTAACACTGTTTTCAGTAGTTGTTAAACAGCGATTTTGGGGATTGTTGCTAACTGAAGTTGATGAATGTAAATGATTGTTCATATCATTTCTATTTACCTTATGATCATGTACTGTAGAATTATTATTATTATTATTATTATTATTATTATTATTATTAGTCGTAGTCGTAGTAGTAGTAGTAGTAACCGGTTTTTTCTTAGCAAATTTACTTGAACATTGACTTAATAAATAAGGAGAATCAAATGGACATAATGAAGAGACAAGAGTTCTATGATCATGATGTATTTGTTTCTGTCGTTGATGTTGATTTAACTCAAGACTATTTGATTGGTTGACACTAAATGATGATGAAGAGACCGGTGATGTATTGATTGATACTGTTATTGTTGTTGTTGTTGTTGAACAAGATTCTTGTGATTTCATATTATTTTTGAAAAAATTGTCAAGATTTTTTTGTTTAAGTGAATTGTTACCATTACGACTTGAAGTTATTTTATGAATGTCAGAAGTAACAACATCATCAATGTATCCACTGACATTTCTGTGATAAATACTTGCATCATCAGGATAATTACAACTAGAAATGTTATGTGCATTATCAATATCCGATGATGATTGACTATAAGTTGTTGAAATTTCGTTGTTTATTTTTAAATCTGTTAATGTTACTGATTTTGTCGATGCTACTGGTGAGGCTACAGTAATGTTTGGTTTATTTTCTGGATTACCTGGAGAAAAAAGATTTTTTAAAAATAATATTTAATATATAAATAATTACTCCATCAATCAAATCACGATTGATACAGAAGCACTGAAAGAGGTTGACATTTTTACTTAATTAAACGCAAGAATTGACATAGCAAGGCCAGCATTCCCTACAACCAAAGAATATTTGGGACTCAAAACAACGGTCAGTCGACATCAAAGTCAGAATTTTCAATACAAACGTCTGGACAGTTCTACTGTAAAGAGCTAAAACATGAAGAACTACTACAACCATGAGCAAAGTGGCACATGTATTTATAAATGACTGTCTAAGCAAGACACTCAATATCTGCTGGTCGAATATTATCAGCAATAACTTACTATCAGAAAGAACAAGCCAACTTCCATTCGAAGAGGGAATTATGAAAAGATGCTGTTTGTGGATAGAGCACATATTGCACCAAGTATTCAGTCAGTCAGTAACAACGTGGAACTTCGTACGTACGTACATCAGTTCGAGTCACCATACCACATCAACACAGAAATGCAGTTGTCGATTCAAATCCCGTAGTCGTAGAGGTAGTGAAAGTATAAGTAGTAATCGGCAACATTAGGGTTTGATGATGTTATTCAAAGAATATAATCCAGTGAAATTAATTTGGAAAGAAAATATAGGACATGAAGAATTCAGAAGATTAGAGTTTAGGAGAACACAAAGAGTGGATGCACCTACGCTATTGCAAGCGATTTTGAGCCATGTTATTCAGGGTCTCGAACCATCGGTTTCTATCGTCTCGTCGACCCCAACCAGGTAGTCTACATCTAACAACGTGACATCATGGACTTTGTGCCGTGTTTTGATTTGGCCGCCCCTAGGTTTCTTACAACTTACTCCTGCACCATAAAACATCGCATGTCGGGGCAGGCGGCAGTTGGACATACGTAATATATGTCCCAGCCATCTCAACTGACGAAGTCTCACTACTTCATCAATTGATTTGTCATCCTTACCTAGTAACCGTTTCCTAACAACTGCATTACTTACTCAGTGGTCTCGGGATACAGAAGTAATGCTTCGAAGACACCTATGATCAAATACCAATAACCTACGAATATCCTCTACTCTTACCGGCCATATTTCAATGCCAAATATTGAAAGCAAATATCCAAAAAATCAATAGCACTTGAAAAGAACTGAAATATCAAGCCGAGAACACAGTTGGTTGAAGAATTCTGGTCCATGACCTATGTTCCGTAAGGGGTAACAAGGGTAAATGAGTGCGTAATTACAGATACAATAATGCCTACCACTAGACATTGATAAAACATTAGAATTCCCATTACTTATACAGGATATTCTATTCAATTTGTCTAATATTGTCAATATTTCTTGTTCTTTTATTACTAAATGTTTTTCCTTACCAATATGTTTACAAATCATTGCATTACTATTCATTGTACTAGTAGTTTGTAACAATGGTGTATTTGATCTATTTAAACATATAGGAATATTATCATCACCGTATATGTTATGATCAGAATACAATTGTACCATTGATGTTGAATAACAATTATTTGTATCCATTATAGATTTATTATAATTTGTATTAGAAATTACTTTACTAATTCGATTCTCTTTTAATTTATTTTGAATATTGTTATCATCATGATGAATAGAAGATTTTGAATATTTAAATAATCTATTACTATCTATTTCATTGGTATTATCATTATGAATCATAATAGTATCTTCATGATTTAATGTTAGAACATAAATAGAATCATGTATTGGTTTTTCATGTATACAATCTCCATCACCTTGGTTACGATTATTTACTAATGTATTAACCGGTATTATTTCACTTGACATTATAATTATTGTTACATTAAAGAATATTAATATAAAGAATTATTAGTAGTATTGTAATTGTCAATTGAAATGTGAATAAAATTGATTTATTTTTTATTAGTTCGAAATCGATTTATAAAATTTAAATTAACCTCCAACTATATTGATACATGTATAGTTTATTAAAATAATAGAGTATAGTAGAATTCATATTATTGATCGATATATACAGATGAAATGGAATGTTTATAAGAATGAATTATGAAGTGAAGAGAAGAATAAAGAAAAAGAAGTGATAAATAATGAAAGCTATTCTCTTGGATATTGTTTCACGTGTGATGTGTGCTACTTATGTAGACATAAGTAGTATATGACGTGAGTACTGAACAGAATGTCTTGCAGCAGAGAGACGAGAAGATCGAACAATAAAGAATGAAAAAAGAATGCAATTTGTAGGAAAATGCAAGAACAAAGGAATTCTGAGTCATTTGAGACAATTCATGAACAATTGGCAAATTAACTATTTAATATATGGTTGTTGGATTTTACTAACAATTCCCAACTTGCGAGTTTCGAACCCAGGACCTACTGGTCTCGCGTGCGAGCATTTAACCACTAGACCACTGAACTAGTCGGCATCCAACGGTGTTAATGTCTAACTTCAACTAATCCACGAAATTGAGCGACACATCCACCATTGTTATCAGTAAGTTACTATCTCACAACGGACCCGGTTGAACTCCACTAGCCTGATTTGTTTAATGAGTTGTAGGCTATTGATTAATCTACAAATTACTGTTATATTTTTATTTTATTCTAAAATTATTGTAATTTAAATGTGGTTCTTATGTTTTATTTACGATACTCTAATACTTTAGTTTGGTATAATTATTTCTTTATTTACATTCTTTTTGTTTCATGATCCATTCTTCGTATATTCATTTGTGTACATTTGTGAGTTAGTCGAATTGGATGGAGATAGAATATAGAGGTTTCTTCAATTGTCATGATCTCGTTTGGTTTTCTAACCATCTAGATTATTATTAGTTAGTGATAGCACTGTTCTTTTCTTTCTGTGCTCAAGGCTGCTCAGTCACAAAATGGAACTTACACGTCAAAGTCTTAAGATCATTTTCTGTCAAAATTTGATAGACTCAGAATAATCTAAAGGTTAGAAGTAGTAGTTATTCGGATTAACAGATAATTCCCATTTAAACATTAAAATTAAAACACGAAGTTCAGCGAAGGGATCTCTTTTCAACGAATTTATTATCAAGCTGTACAATCGTATATATATATAAAATTTTTGTAAAAGTACTAATTCCGTGAGGAAATGTGAACACAGTTAACCATGACATAATAAAAAGGGGTTATAATACTAGATTACGTACTACGAATAATAACAATAGATTTAGTGAATATAATAAGATGATTAAAATGTTTTTTGTTATAATACTTAAAGGTCATAGAGGTGTGAAAAATAAATAAATAAGGTAATATGATGAGTATTTACGAATAAAAACAATGAGAATATAAGACATAAGCAAAGGGGGGAATGCAACATTAATAATAATAATAATAGAATAATCAAAATAATTAAGGCCAAGGTAACGATAGCGATAAGACGTACTTCTTTTGTACGCATAGTTCTGGTTTAAGCTCCTGAATGGTAAGAGCTTCGGCTATTTTTAAGAGTTGGATACGAAGAAATCTAGGTAGATTTGGACGAATCATATAAACAACCTTAAAATCAATTTGTGGATCTGTAGAATGGTTACAGTCGATAAGGTGTTCAAGTATAGAACTCCTAACTGCTTTCCTTTCACCCTTATAGAACCAAGCTGGAATATGTTCCCGTATCCGAGTTGAAAGCGAGCGCTGGCTACGGCCAATGTACCTTGCTCCACAAGAGCAGGTGAACTGATAGATGCACATAGAGGCGACCAGACGCGGAAGCTTATCTTTTATGGATACAGAAAATAAGTTCCTACTAGTGAATGTTATTCGCAGTTTAGCTGCATTAAATGTTCTTCTAATCGTTGTTGTTAGACGATTTTTGATCACATCTGATGTTCGATCACCTTTAAATTCCAGACTTATATAAAGGTTTTTCTTCGGAACGGAACAACTAGATTTCTTGTCGTAATTACTTCTATTCAGATTCTTTTCTATGAACCGTTCTGGGTAGTCATTTTCCTTCAAGGTTTTCTTGAGGAATGCGAGTTCTTCGTTAATGCATTCCGTACTGCATATCTGGTGTATTCGATAACATAAAGAATGGATAAGATTTCTCTTTCTACTTAACGGGACCCAGCTATAGAAGTTGGTTAGCTGGCCATTCCATGTTTGTTTTCTAAAGACCGATCTTTTTAAAGAACCATTACTCCTTCTCATCAGACGTACATCGAGAAAAGGAATTGATTGGTCTCGTTCCCTTTCTAACGTGAAGTCTATGGATGGGTGGCATGAGTTAAAAGTGTGTAAAATATCATCTAGATCAATATTATTGTCACAAACGATAAACGTGTCGTCCATGTATCTCACGTATAGGTGAAATCGATTGATCATTGAACGGAGTTGGTCGTTTTCTACTTTTGCCATGAAACAGTCTGCTAAAATTGGACCCAATGGAGACCCCATTGCGATCCCATCCCTTTGTCTATATATTTCATTATTGAAACTGAATTGGACATTAAAAGTACAGCGTAACAATAGTTCTTTCAAGTGTTCAGTCGGTAAACCTAGATCTATGTTGTTAGAATCTATATACTCACATATATAGCATATCGTTTCGGTTAAAGGTACGCTAGTGAACAAAGAGTTAACGTCAAGCGAGAACATGTGTTTTCCGGAAGTATTAATGTCCTTAATACGATCAATAAATTGAAAAGTATCATGAATAGAATATTTAGATACTTGCCTTCTAACCGGTTCCAATTTTTCCGCTAACCATTTGGCGATTCGGTGGTATGGTGAACTCGACATGTCCAAAATAGGTCGCAACGGTAAACCCGGCTTATGTACTTTAGGTAGTCCATATAAGCGCGGGATGATTGAACTCATGGGACGTATGTGATTATATAGATCTTGGGTTATTATCCCTTTATTCTTAAGATTTTTAACAACATCTGTTAGCTGTTTTTCGATTTGCAATGTTTTATCGACTTCTCCTTTAGGTTTGGAGAATTTAGTACCATCCTCTAGAATTAACTTCATTTTATCCAAATATTCTTGGCGGTCAAGTAGTACTACACCAGCTCCCTTGTCAGGTTTACTTAGGATTAAATCCTTATTTCTTTTCAGGAGTATTAGCTGATCCAAGTGGTTCTTAGTTAATAGGTTATTCTTACTGCATTGTGCATTAACGTATCCATGACTGCAGTCCAGTAATGTGGATTTAAAGTGCTGAAGATTTTGTGGGGATGTCGGCATAAGATCATGAGTTTGATTTGATAGATTTTCGAATTGTATTTGTGTATGAAGTCTACTGGTTTTGGAGGTGCTGTTACAGAACTTGGGACCCAATGATAAGGCCTGTATTTGGACTGACGAGAGTTTAATAGAAGAATGATTAAATACATACTTTTCTGGATGTTCTGGAAACTTCTTAACCACGTCTACGTGTTGCAATGTTTCCAAGTGTTTACGTTTAGCTTTTTGTGACTGTTTTTCCGTAACATTAGTAACATAGTCCTCAAACTGTTTACGTTCATCTAACGACAATTCGAACAATGCGTGACTTCTTAGAGATACGTTGCGATCTAGTTCGACTATTCGAGATTTAATAGCATCGATATAATTTAGTGTATGACGTTTGAGTGTTTTTGCATTGGGATGAATATGGTTTCGCCTTAGTGCCTTCCAGAAACATTTAGGATAATCGTTATTTTCGATACAGCTTTCGAAAAAATTGATCTCACATTTCACTAACGCAAGCTTGACGGTGTAACGTAAGAACCCATTGAGCTCTTTCATCGTCATAAGGTCCTTGCATTTCTTCAATTGACAGATAATTCCCATTTAAACATTAAAATTAAAACACGAAGTTCAGCGAAGGGATCTCTTTTCAACGAATTTATTATCAAGCTGTACAATCGTATATATATATAAAATTTTTGTAAAAGTACTAATTCTATAGCTGGGTCCCGTTAAGTAGAAAGAGAAATCTTATCCATTCTTTATGTTATCGAATACACCAGATATGCAGTACGGAATGCATTAACGAAGAACTCGCATTCCTCAAGAAAACCTTGAAGGAAAATGACTACCCAGAACGGTTCATAGAAAAGAATCTGAATAGAAGTAATTACGACAAGAAATCTAGTTGTTCCGTTCCGAAGAAAAACCTTTATATAAGTCTGGAATTTAAAGGTGATCGAACATCAGATGTGATCAAAAATCGTCTAACAACAACGATTAGAAGAACATTTAATGCAGCTAAACTGCGAATAACATTCACTAGTAGGAACTTATTTTCTGTATCCATAAAAGATAAGCTTCCGCGTCTGGTCGCCTCTATGTGCATCTATCAGTTCACCTGCTCTTGTGGAGCAAGGTACATTGGCCGTAGCCAGCGCTCGCTTTCAACTCGGATACGGGAACATATTCCAGCTTGGTTCTATAAGGGTGAAAGGAAAGCAGTTAGGAGTTCTATACTTGAACACCTTATCGACTGTAACCATTCTACAGATCCACAAATTGATTTTAAGGTTGTTTATATGATTCGTCCAAATCTACCTAGATTTCTTCGTATCCAACTCTTAAAAATAGCCGAAGCTCTTACCATTCAGGAGCTTAAACCAGAACTATGCGTACAAAAGAAGTACGTCTTATCGCTATCGTTACCTTGGCCTTAATTATTTTGATTATTCTATTATTATTATTATTAATGTTGCATTCCCCCCTTTGCTTATGTCTTATATTCTCATTGTTTTTATTCGTAAATACTCATCATATTACCTTATTTATTTATTTTTCACACCTCTATGACCTTTAAGTATTATAACAAAAAACATTTTAAT